TTTTTTTTCCCCCCCCCCTTTTTTGGGGCCCCTTTTTGGGGCCCCCCAATTTTTTTTGGGGTTTTTTTGGGGGGGTGGTTGGGGGGGGTTTGGGGGGTTTTTTTGGGGGGGGGGGGAAAATTTTTTTTTTTTGGGTTTTGGGGGGGGGCTTTATTTTTTTTTTTTCCCCCCCCTTTTTTTTCCCTTTTTTTTTTTCCCCCTTTTTTTTGTTTTTTTTTCCCCCTTTTTTTTTTTCCCCCCCTTTTTTTTTTTTTGGGTTTTTTGGGGGGTTTTTTGGAAGGGGGCCCCCCTTTATTTTTTTTTTTTTTTTAAAAATTTTTGGGGGGAGGGGGGGACTCAAACCCCCCCCCCGGGGGGGGGCCCCCCCCCCGGCCCCCCCCTTTTCCAACCCCCTTTTTGGGGGCCCCTTTTAAACCCTTTTAAATTTTTGGTTACCCTTTTAAAAAAAAATTTTTTCCCTTTTTTTTTTAAAAAAAATTTCCCCCCCGGCTCCTTTGGGGTTTTTTTTTCCCCTGTCCCTTTCCCCCTTTTTAAAAATTTTTTTTCCCCCCACCCCCCGGTTTTTTTGTCTTTTTCCCCCTTTTTTCCCCTTTTTTTTTTTGGGGGGCCCTTTTAAAACCCCAACATTCCCTTTTTGGGGGTTTTTTTTCCCCTTTTTTAAAAAAAGGGGGGTTTTTTTCCCCCCTTTTTTTCCCCAAAACCCCAAATTTTTCCGGGGGAAAAAAATTTTTTTTAAATTTTTTTCCCCCCCCCTTTTTTTCCCCGGGGTTTTTTTAAAGGGGGTTTTTTTCCCCTTTTTCCCCCGGGGTTTTTTTTTTTTTTTTCCCCCCTTTTTTTTTTTCCCCCCCCCCCCCTTTTTTTTGGGGGGGGGGCCCCCCCCAAATTTTTTTTAAATTTTTTCCCCCGGGGCCCCCCCTTTTTTCCCCCATTTTTTCCCCCTTTAAAAAACACTTTGGGGCCCCCCCTTTTCCCCCCTAAAAAAACCCCCCCCCTTTTTTTTCCCCCGGGCCCCGGTTGGGCCCCCTTTTTTTTTTTTCCCCCGCCCCCCTTTTTTTGGGGGTTTTTTTCCCCTTTTCCCCCTTTTTGTGGGGGTTTTAAACCCCCCAAAGGGGGCCCAAAACCCCCCCTTCCCGGGCCCTTTTCCCCCCCCCCCCCTTTTTTTTTTTTTTTAAAAAAAAAATTTTTTTCCCCCTTTTAAAATTTTTTTTTTTTTTTAAATTTTTTTTTTTTTCCCTTTTCCAAATTTTTCCCCCCCGGGGAAAAAATTTTTTTTGGGGTTTTTTTTTTTTTGGGTTTTTTTTTTTTTTTTTTTTTAAAAAAAGGGGGTTTAAAAAAGGGGGGTTTTTTTTAAAACCCAAAAGGGGTTTTTTTTTCCCCCCGGGGGGGGGTTTTTTTTTTTTTCAAACCTTTTGGTTTTTCCCCCCCTTTTTTTCCCTTTAAAACCCCCGGGTTTCCCCCCTTTTTCCCCCCCCCCCCCCTTTTTTTTAGGGGCCCCCAAAACCCCCTGTTTAGGGGTTTTTTTTTCCCCTTTTTTTTGAACCCCCCCTTTTTTTTTTCCCCCCGGGGAAAAATTTTTTTTTTGGGGGGTTAAATTTGGGGTTTTCAAATTTTTTTGGGGGCCCCCCCCCCTTTTTTTCCGGGGGCCCCCCCCCCTTTTTTTTTTGTTGGGCTCTGCCCCATTTTTTTTTTTTTTGCCTTTTTTTTTCCTTCCCGGGGGGGCCCCCCCCCCCCGGGGGGGCCCCGGGGGGGGGGGGTTTTTTCCCTTTTTTTTTCCCCCCCCCTTTTTTTTTTAAAAATTTTTTCCCTTTTTTTTTTTTTCCTTTTTCCCCCCCCCCCTTTTTTTTTCCCCCCCCCCCCAAAAAAATTTTCCCTTTTTTCCCCTTTTTTTTTCCCCTTTTTTTCTACTTGTTTTTTCCCCCCGGGGTTTTGGAAAACCCAAACCCGGGCCCTTTTAGGTGGGTTTTTTTCCCCCCTTTGGGGGGGGGGGGGGGGGGCCCTTTTTTCCCCCCCCCCCCCCATTTTTTTTTTGGTGTTTTTCCCCCCCCCCCCTTTTTTTTTTTTCCCCCCGGGGGTTTTTTTTTTCCCTTTTTTTTCCCCCAAAAAATTTTTTCTTTGGGGGGGGCCCCCTTTTTTTTTTTTTTTTCCCCCTTTTTTCCCCTTTGGGCCTTTTTTTTAAAAAAATTTTTTTTTTCCCCTTTTAAAAATTTTTTCCCTTTTTGGGTTTTTTTTTTTTTTTTTTTTTTTTTTTTTCCCCCCCCCCCCCCCCCCCCCTGCCCCTTTTTTTTTTAAAATTTTTTTTTGGGGTTTTTTTTTTTGTTCCCTTTTTTCCCGGGCCCCTTTTTTTTTTCCCCCCTTTTTTTTTTTTAAACCAAGGTTTTTTAAAAATTTAATTTTGTTCCAACCCCCAAATTTGGGGGGGGGGGGGGGGGGAGGGTTGGGGGTGGTTTTTGGGTTTGGGTTTTTTTGTGTGTGTTTTTTTTTGTGTGTGTGTGTTTGTGGGTGGGTTTTTGGGGGGTTTTTTTTGGGGGGGGGGAAGGGGGGGGTTGGGGGTGGGGGGGGAGAAATTCCCCTTCCCCTTTTTTTCCCCCCCAAAAAAATTTTTTTTTTTTTTTTTTTTTGTTTTGGGGTTTTCTTTTTGGGGGGTTTTTTCCCCTTTTTTTTCCCCCTTCCCCTTTTTAAAAAAAATAATTTAAAAAAAATTTTTCCCTTTTTTTAAAAAAAAAAAAAAAAGTTAAAAAAAGGGAAATTAAAAAGGGGGAAAAAAGGGGGAAAAAAAGTTTTTTTTTTAAAAAAAAAAAAGGGGGCAAAAAAGGGGGGGGGGTTTTTTTTAAAAAGTTGGGGCCCCGGGGGCCCCCCGGGGGAAAAAAATTTTTTAAAAAAAAAACCCCCCCTTTTTTTTTTTTTTAAGGGGGGGGTTTTCCCCCCCCCCGGGGGGGCCAAAGGGGGGGAAAAAAAAAGGGTTTTTTTTCCCCCCCCCAAAAAACCCCCAGGGGGGCCCCCCCCCCGGGTTTTTTCCCCCCCGGGGTTTTTTTCCCCCTTTTTTGGGGGGGGAAACCCGGGGCCCCCCCCTTTTTTTTTTTTTTTGGGGCCCCCCTTTTTTTTTTGGGGGGGGGTTTTTCCTTTTTTTTTTGGGGTTTTGGGGGGGGGCCCCCCAATTTTCCCGGGTTTTTTGTATTTCCCCCTTTGGGGGGGGGCCCCCCCCTTTTTTTTTATTTGTATTTCCCCTTTTTGGGTTTTAAAAAAAAAACCCCCCCCGGGGGTTTTTTTTTTGGGGGGGGGGTTTTTTTTTTTTTAAAAATTTTCCCCTTTGGGGGGTGGGAAAAAATTTAAAAAACCCGGAAACCCCAAAGGGTTTTTTTTTTTTGGGTTTTTTTTTTTTTTTTGGGTTTCCAAGGTTTGGTCCTTTAAAACCCGGCAAAACCCCCCCTTTTTTTGGGCCCTTTTTTTTTCCGGGGGTTTTTTCCCAAAAAATTTTTTTTTAAAAATTTTTTAAAAAAATTTTTTTTAAAATTAAAATTTTTTTTTGGGCCCCCGGGGGGGGGGGGGGGTTTTTTTGGTTCGGGGGGGAAAAAAAAAAATTTTTTTAAAAAAAAATTTTTTTTAAATTTTTTAAAAACCAAATTTTTTTAAAAATTTTTTTTCCCAAAGGGGGGTTTTTAAAAAAAATTTAAAAAATAAAATTTTTTTTTCCCCCCCCCCCCCTTTTTTTTTAAACCCGGGGTTTTTTACTTTAAAAAAAATTTTTTTTTTCCCCCATCCCTTTTTCTTTTTTTTTTTTTTGTTTTTTCCCCTTTTTTTTTTTGGGTTTGTTTTTTTTTTTTCCCCTTTTTTTTTTTTCCCCCCCCCCTTTTTAACCTTTAAAACCCCAAAAATTTTATTTTTTTTTGGGTTTTTTTTTTTTGGTTTTTTTTTCCCCCAAAATTTTTTTTTTCCCCCCCCCCTGTTTTTAAAGGGGGCCTTTTATTTTTAAAAAATTTTTTGGGTTTTTTTTGGGCCCCCTTTTTCCTTTTTTTTTTCCCCCCCCCAAAAAAAAAAATTTTTGGGGTTTTTTAAAAAATTTTTTTTTAAAAAAAATTTTTTTTTTTTTTTTTTTTTTAAAAACTTTCCCCGGGGGGGGGGGGGGGGGGGGGGGGGGGGGGGTTTTTTTTTTTAAAAACCTTTTTTAAAAATTTTTTTTTTTTTTAAATTTTTTTTTTTTAAATTTTTTTTTTAAAAAAATTTTATTAAATTTTTTTTTAAAAATTTTTTTTTTTTTAAAAAAAAAATTTTTTTTTTAAAAAAGGGGAAAAAAAAAAGGGGGGGGGAAAAATTAAAAAAAGGGGGGGGTTTTTTTTTTTTTTTCCCCCGTTTTTTAAAAATTTTTTTAAAAAAAAAAAACCCCCCTTTTTTTTTTTTTAAATTAAAATTTTCCTTTTTTTTTTGTAAAAATTTTTTAAAAATTTTTTTTTTTATGTTTTTTTTAAAAAAAAAATTTTTTTCCCGTTTAAAAAATTTTTTTTTAATTTTTAAAAAAATTTTTTTAAACCCCAAAAAAAACCGGGTTTTTTTTTAAAAAAAAATTTTTAATTTCCCCAAAAAACCCCCCCCAACGAAATTTTTTGGGCCCGGGTTTTTTTAAAATTTTTTTTTTTTTTCCCCCCTTTTTTCAATTTTTTTAAAAAAAAAAATTTTCCCGGGGGGGTTTTTTTTTTTTTAAAACCCAAAAATTTTTTTTTTTTAAAAATTTTTTTTAAAAAAAATTTTGGGGGGCCCCCTTAAATGAAATTTTTTTGGTTTTTAATACCTTTTTGGGTTTTTTTTAAAAATTTAATAGGGGGGTTTAAAAATTTTTTTTTTTTGGGGGGGAAAAATTTTTGGGGGAAAAACCCCCAAAAAAATTTTTTTAAAACCCAGAAGGGGGGAAAAATTTTTTTTTAGGGGGGTTTTGAAAAAAATTTTTTTTTTAAAAAAAGGGTTTTTTAAACAAAAGGGTTTTTTAAAAATTTTAAAAAGGGGTTTATGATAATATTAAGCATAGCTACTTTGTTAGATTTAGTAATTCTGAACTGGATACATATTCAAGTTACTTTATGTCTTATTAATTTTGATTTAAATACTAATCCTAGTTGCTTTAGCCTTGTTAAGAAATACTGGTTGAATTATTTTATGAAATACTGTGTTAAGCTGCCTTCTAAAACTCATAATCATATGTTGTTCTAAAACTAGTTTAATGTTGGCACCATTGACACTACATACACCACCTCCATTACTAAGCTGAAGCATCGTTGCAGCTGCAGGAATTTGATCGTGAAAGTTGATCCTCTGATCTTCACCACGTTATTAACATCATCACAATCAGTAAATTTATATTGGCCCATTGGAATGCTATATGACTACATGGATTTTTTTATTTATCCACACTAGGTTATCAGTCTTATGAATAAACTTCTGTTAACTCAGGGTTAATACCAGTTTCCTGTAAATCCTGTAAAACACTGCAGTCATACACTGTAATCATAACACTCTGCTTAATCAAGAAATACGTCTGTTTCTGAATTTTATTGCTGAGAGGACTGTTCCAACCCTAGCTAATGAATAGTTGAGTTAATTGATGTGCCAGTTACTACACTTATATTGAGGCCTTCCAAGGATTCTTAGTTTGTAGGGTAGTCTGAGGCTGTCCAAGGATTCTTAGTTTGTAGGGTAAGAATATTCTGAAGTTATTAGAGGAATCTTAGCCATAGGCTAAATGCTGGTTTTGAATTAAAATCGCCCAGAGAGTTGTAGCACCAAGATAGCGTTGTTTATGGAGCTGTAGAACATAAGGATTTGTAGTACCTAGGATGAAGATGTATACGAAGTTCTAGAAGCAAGAAGTTGTAGTATCTAGGATAAAAAATATCTATGGGGCTCTAGAAGCTAAAGATCTTAGCTATTTCTTGGTCACGTTTCATTAGTGAGGTCCCGAAAGTTCTTATAGCTGGGCCTCATTTCTCGAGAATTGAAGCATCTTGAAGACTTAAGATGAGCGCGGAGGCTGAGACAACAGCTCTCCTGGGATATGGAAGAGGAGGCCCTCACAGGGTGACGGACATTCCTCGTACACCTCCCAGAAGTGTCTTCGATGCCCCAGAAACATCACTCATCCTCGGCAAGGTGAGAGAATTTTTTTTTTCTTAGCACACTGGCCGATTCCCACCAAGGCAGGGTGGCCCGAAAAAGAAAAGCTTTCACCATCATTCACTCCATCACTGTCTTGCCAGAAGGGTGCCTTACACTACAGTTTTGAAACTGCAACATTAACACCCCTCCTTCAGAGTGCAGGCACTGTACTTTCCATCTCCAGGACTCAAGTCCGGCCTGCCGGTTTCCCTGAATCCCTTCATAAATGTTACTTTGCTCACACTCCAACAGCACGTCAAGTATTAAAAATCATTTGTCTCCATTCACTCCTATCAAACACGCTCACGCATGCCCGTTGGAAGTCCAAGCCCCTCGCACACAAGACCTCCTTTACCCCCTCCCTCCAACCCTTCCTAGGCCGACCCCTACTCCGCCTTCCTTCCACTACAGAAAGATACACTCTTGAAGTCATTCTGTTTTGCTCCATTCTCTCTACATGTCCGAACCACCTCAACAGCCCTTCCTCAGCCCTCTGGACAACAGTTTTGGCAATCCTGCACCTCCTCCTAACTTTCAAACTACGAATTCTCTGCATTATATTCACACCACACATTGCCCTCAGACATGACATCTCCACTGCCTCCAGCCTTCTCCTTGCTGCAACATTCATCACCCATGCTTCACACCCATATAAGAGCGTTGGTAAAACTATACTCCCATACATTCCCCTCTTTGCCTCCAAGGACAAAGTTCTTTGTCTCCACAGACTCCTAAGTGCACTGCTCACCCTTTTCCCCCTCATCAATTCTATGATTCACCTCATCTTTCATAGACTCATCCGCTGACACGTCCACTCCCAAATATCTGAATACATTCACCTCCTCCATACTCTCTCCCTCCAATCTGATATCCAATCTTTCAAAACTAGGGAGGCCAAGCCCATGATGACACTCTTCAGGTCACTTGTTCTATCTAGGCTGGAATATTGCTGCACTCTAACAGCACCTTTCAAGGCAGGTGAAATTGCCGACCTAGAAAATGTACAGAGAACTTTCACGGCGCGCATAACGGAGATAAAACACCTCAATTACTGGGAGCGCCTGAGGTTTCTAAACCTGTATTCCCTGGAACGCAGGAGGGAGAGATACATGATTATATACACCTGGAAAATCCTAGAGGGACTAGTACCGAACTTGCACACGAAAATCACTCACTACGAAAGCAAAAGACTTGGCAGACGATGCACCATCCCCCCAATGAAAAGCAGGGGTGTCACTAGCACGTTAAGAGACCATACAATAAGTGTCAGGGGCCCGAGACTGTTCAACTGCCTCCCAGCACACATAAGGGGGATTACCAACAGACCCCTGGCAGTCTTCAAGCTGGCACTGGACAAGCACCTAAAGTCAGTTCCTGATCAGCCGGGCTGTGGCTCGTACGTTGGTTTGCGTGCAGCCAGCAGCAACAGCCTGGTTGATCAGGCGCTGATCCACCAGGAGGCCTGGTCACAGACCGGGCCGCGGGGGCGTTGACCCCCGAAACTCTCTCCAGGTAAACTCCAGGTATCCTCATAACCTTACTCTTTCCTGTATTCACTTTTAATTTTCTTGTTTTACATACTCTACCAAATTCATCCGCCAACCTCTGCAACTTCTCTTCAGAATCTCCCAAGAGCACAGTGTCATCAGCCTCTTGCCAAGACCCTCGCATTTACTTCTCTTACAACCCCATCTATAAATATATTAAACAACCATGGTGACATCACACATCCTTGTCTAAGGCCTACTTTTACTGGGAAAAAAATCTCCCTCTTTTCTACATACTCTTACTTGAGCCTCACTATCCTCGTAAAAACTCTTCACTGCTTTCAGTAACCTACCTCCTATACCATACACCTGCAACATCTGCCACATTGCCCCCCTATCCACCCTGTCATACCTGCCTGGAGGTTACCTGCCTGGAGGTTATTCCGGGGATCAACGTCCCCGCGGCCCGGTCCACGACCAGGCCTCCCGATGGATCAAGGCCTGATCAACTAGGCTGTTACTGCTGGCCAGCACGCAGTCGAACGTACGAGCCACAGCCCGGCTGATCCGGCACTGACTTTAGGTATCTGTCCAGCTCTCTCTTGAAGGCAGCCAGGGGTTTATTGGCAATTCCCCTAATGCTTGATGGGAGGCTGTTAAACAGTTTTGGGATCCGGACACTTATGGTGTTTTCCCTTAGTGTACCAATGGCGACCCTACTTTTTATTGGGGGCATTTTGCATCGCCTTCCCAGTCATTTACTTTCGTAGGGAGTGATTTCTGTGTGCAGATTTGGGACCATTCCTTCCAAGATTTTCCAAGTGTAGATTATGATATATCTCTCCCTCCTGCGTTCCAACGAGTACAAGTCAAGTGCTTCCAAGCGTTCCCAGTAGTTAAGGTGCTTGACAGAACTTATACGTGCAGTAAAGGATCTCTGTACACTCTCTAGATCTGCGATTTCACCTGCTTTGAATGGAGATGTTAATGTACAGCAGTATTCCAGCCTAGAGAGAACAAGTGATTTGAAAAGGATCATCATGGGCTTGGCATCTCTCGTTTTGAAAGTTCTCATTATCCATCCTATCATTTTCTTTGCACGTGCGATCGTGGCACTGTTGTGATCCTTGAAAGTGAGATCCTCAGACATTACTACTTCCAGGTCCCTTACATTATTTTTCCGCTCTATTGTATGGCCGGAGTCAGTAGTATACTCTGTTCTAGTTATTATCTCCTCCAGTTTTCCATAACGGAGTAGTTGGAATTTGTCCTCATTGAACATCATATTGTTTACCGTTGCCCACTGGAAAACCTTTTTTTATATCTTCTTGGAGGTTAACCGCGTCCTCAGCAGATGACAGCCTCATGCAGATCCTAGTTTCATCCGCAAAGGATGATACGGTGCTGTGGTGTACATCTCTGTTTATGTCTAATATGAGGATAAGGAATAAGATGGGGGCGAGTACTGTGCCTTGTGGAACAGAGCTCTTCACTATGGCAGCCTCCGATTTAACTCTGTTGACCACCACTATTTGTGTTCGATTTGTTAGGAAGTTGAAGATCCATCTCCCCACTTTCCCAGTTATTCCTTTAGAACGTATTTTATGGGCTATTACGCCATGATCGCATTTGTCAAATGCTTTTGCAAAGTCTGTGTATATTACATCTGCATTCTGATTTTCTTCCAGTGCATCCAAGGCCATGTCATAGTGATCCAGTAGTTGTGAGAGGCAGGAGCGACCTGCCCTGAACCCATGTTGCCCTGGATTGTGCAGATTTTGGGAATCCAGGTGATTTGCAATCCTGCTTCTTAGCACTCTTTCAAAGATTTTTATGATGTGGGACGTCAGAGCTATTGGTCTATAGTTCTTAGCTAATGCTTTGCTGCCATCTTTATGGAGTGGGGCTATATATACGCCTTTTCCAAATCCATAAATGCCACAAAAACCTCTTTAGCCTTATCTAAATACTGTTCACTTATGTGTTTCACTGTAAACACCTGGTCCACAGACCCCCTACCTTTCCTAAAGCCTCCTTGTTCATCTGCTATCCTATTCTCCGTCTTACTCTTAATTCTTTCAATGATAACTCTACCATACACTTTACCAGGTATACTCAACAGACTTATCCCCCTATAATTTTTGCACTCTTTTTTGTCCCCTTTGCCTTTATACAAAGGAACTATGCATGCTCTCTGCCAATCCCCAGGTACCTTACCCTCTTCCATACATTTGTTAAATAATAGCTCCAACCACTCCAAAACCATATCCCCACCTGCTTTTAACATTTCTATCTTTATCCCATCAATCCCAGCTGCCTTAACCCCTTTCATTCTACCCACTGCCTCACGAACCTCCCCCACACTCACAACTGGCTCTTCCTCACTCCTACAAGATGTTATTCCTCCTTGCCCTATACATGAAATCACAGCTTCCCTATCTTCATCAACATTTAACAATTCCTCAAAATATTCCCTCCATCTTCCCAATACCTTTAACTCTCCATTTAATAACTCTCCTCTCCTATTTTTAACTGACAAATCCATTTGTCCTCTGGTATCTGGAAGAGTAACTAGGTGAGTGCTGTTTGGTACCCTTTGTTTTGCTCTTAAGTGGAAGGAGATTCCAGTCTACTCTACTTCTTGTGCTACATAACCCACGCGGATTTAGCGCTTCATGCAATAAGAGTTTTCTCCACAGAGTCAGGGAGTGGCCCCGGGAATGAGCACGCTCACAGCTGTCTGTTATATTCTGGGTGTGTGTGGAGTCCTTCCCGTTGTCTCCTTGCCTGGTGCCATCCTTTACTGTGGTCAGTAATCTTTTTTCAAGAAACGTATATATTAGTCAGTAAGAGACTGAGGACTATATATATATATATATATATATATATATATATATATATATATATATATATATTATATATATATATATATATATATATATGCAAAGCAACCACTCTGAAAGAATAGAGAAATTCCAAGCGCTTTCGTGACTACTCACATTATCAAGGAACTTAATAATGTGAGTAGTCACGAAAGCGCTTGGAATTTCTCTATTATTTCAGAGTGGTTGCTTTGTATATTCTGAAATCACCTGTTTACTGTGATCTTATTGCATATATATATATATATATATATATATATATATATATATATATAATATATATATTGTGTGTGTGTGTGTGTGTGTGTGTGTGTGTGTGTGTGTGTGTGTGTGTGTGTGTGTGTGTGTTAGTTGTACAGCGTGTAAAAAAAAGTACTGTAAATATTTTACATTTTATTACTTTTGTATTACTTTAGGTAAAGTATTTTTTATAGTTTGTGTCACTTATATATAATTGCTTTTCAGATACATTAGCTGCATGACTTTTGTGGGTTTAGCGCTTAACTCTGATTGTTATAACAGTTCACATACAGAGGTTTGAATTTGTTTGGTATTATTTCATTTATTAATGCGCTTAGTTTCACCAGTAACATGTCCATTTTATTCACAGATCAGTTTTACAGGCTCATGTCAAGCTCCAGCTCCCAACCAAGATATAGTACCACCCCCAGGATGCGACCCACACCAGTCGACTAACACCCGGGTACCTACTTACTGCTAGCTGAACAGAGGCAGCAGGCATAATGAAACATCCAACATTTCCACGCGTGCCGGGAATCGAACCACAGACACTTAACATGTGACCTGAGTGCGCTACCACCGAGCCATGGGGACGCCTGTGTATATCGTTGAAAACACAGTATATCTTACACATTGTTTCTTCAGGATATCTTATTTATTTATTAAGGAGGAACGATGGCCGCCTTTTGTAGAATAATTCCCAAATGTTCCAGAACTATCATATATTAAAACTTAAAAGAAAATTAAACATTTACCAAAGAATTCTAGTTGGCTGATCAGTTGGGTTTAAAGTCTGTCGACTACACCATACAGAGATACGTCCAAGGAAATCTACAGGAAATGGCAAATCACAATATTGTTAATGGTATGCGAAATCTTTATACTGTATCCATATATTCCATGGACAAGATGAAGGCAGTGTTAAATGATAAGACTGTGATAATATAATGGCTATTGTTTTTAGTAGTACAGTAATAAGATAATTATATTTTCTTCAGACTGTTTCTCCGTATTGTACCAAGGTGATTAGCTGCGTGAAGAAAGTGTGATATAGAAAATGACTGAATTACCTACTTTTAAAGATGTAACTACATATTTAGTTACATGGGATCTGATACTCATTGTGACCTTTATAGTTGTTTCTTGCGCTAGCGCTCACAAGATGGCTGCACAATAAATTAGTTGCTCACACAACACTTAAGTAAACAGAGCATTGTTGTTCCTTATAATATCAGCTTCAACATTCTGGTTGATAAAGATACCTAAGTGTTGCACATGTGTCTAATGTATCAACTTGTCGGTTCTCTGAACCATTTATCTATAAGATTCATGTTCCCCTCGCAACAATAACTAACGGACGCGTCTTAAAATATATTCCTGTTTCTACTTCCTTATGGAACTCTTGTAGCCGCCTTGTATTACCCAATTTGAGATAATGATTCTTCCCGGATGCCAGGAGTCAAATTCAATACGACGTAAGCGCTGCCAGTGGCACATTAAACCCACACACAAATACCATAAATATTGATATATAGTGAGAGCTGTTTAGAGGATGTCAACGCCGGTCTTAGTGGAGTGCGGACGTCTCGTCATAACCTGCTCTGAGCATTTGTGACGAATTCCCCATTTTGTCCTCAGGAAGCTTGTCCTTATCATGCACTCCGATAGGTGAGTACAAATAGGAAGCGCGTCTGTCTGGTACTCAGCAGACAGAAGATCAAGCCTCGACCTCATCGGGTTTATGATGAACATGAATTATTCTCTTCTATTCATCATGCCCTGCCCGCTGGGCACTTGATCGAGGAGCTATACAGCAACTCTTCGGGTGCTCATGGCTCAACTAGTAGCCGCTTCAGCTCACACACACTGAGGTACCAAGGTTCGATCCCCGGACGAGTAGAAACGTTGGGCACGTTTCCATATATTTCCCCCATTCACCTAGCAGTAAGTAGGTACCTAAATTTTAGCCGACTGGTGTGAGTCTCATCCTAAGGAGAGGATTGAAGATCCCAATACAAATTACCAAGACATCCTGATGACATGGTTTTAATGGGTTATCCTGGGTTAATAATCCGAACAAAGCCTCTAGTTTTCCGGTTTGCGGATTTTTACGACCGGGTTGCTGGCTTAGTGCAGTGTGGGCCTCTGACTGGGTTTCAGACGTGTAGTACACCTGACCTAACTCGACATATTTTTGATGAAAAGGACACGTGAGCAAACAAGAAATTTTAATGGAAACATTTGTCCTGAGACCTAGTTCACTCTCCTCCACTCCATCCTTTACTTTAAGTGACAAGGATTGTTTCCCCATTCGTTTAAATTTCCTCACGTTCTTTACTGATGATGTGGTATGATTTACGGACATGAATTACGGATTGTGGAAAATGAGTTTTGTGTGATTATGATTTATGTGTGTAAATATATAAATAAATTGGTCACGACAGTAACAAGTTTCGCCTGCTATGCAGGCGAAAGGTTTCGGAAGTAAAAAATCCCTGAGTATTGCACGTTTCTAGTGACTCCACATTTAGATTAACCTGCAAAGTTTTGGTTTCTGCATTACAGAATGAACAGAAATGCAATAGAAAATATACAGATAAGGATGACGAACTTGATCCCATGTATCAGAAACCTTTCCTGCGCATATAATACTAAAGCACTTAATTTGCACTCTCTGGAAACACTTAGAACTTGGGGGAATATGACTAAAGAGTGCCGTGCATATGGAAAACTGGAATAAATAAGGAACATGCTGAAAATATCTAAAGACAGGACTCACAACAATGGATTTAAGTAAAACAAATTTAGATTTAGAAAGGATACAGGGAGGTACTGGTTAAGTAATAGCATCACTGCAATGACAACTTTGGTTAACTTAACTATAATTTGGATAGGTGTGAAATGGACTTGCCTAGCATGGGCCAATGTGCAATAAGCAGTGCTTCCTGTTCATATATTCTTCAAAAATTGTGCACAAACTATGAAAAGTTCTAAGATGAACTAATTGATGCCTCCCAGAGCAAAAAAAAAAAAATATTTTCCAAACAAAGAATGAATGCATTGCATATAGCATCTTTGGATGATAGGAGGAAAAAACGTAACATGACAACAACATTTCAAATTATAAGAGGATACGAAAGAAGTGATATGATGTAGCATGATGATAAAATTTCAAATTATAAGAGGATACGAAAGAAGTGATATAATGTAACATGATGATAAAATTTCAAATTATAAGAGGATACGAAAGAAGTGATATAATGTAACATGATGATAAAATTTCAAATTATAAGAGGATACGAAAGAAGTGATATGAATGTAACATGATGATAAAATTTCAAATTATAAGAGGATACGAAAGAACTGACATAGAAGACTAACTACATGAGAACAAAGTTCTATGATTATAAACTTCAGGAAGAGCTACAAAAAGAAAACTTGAGAAGACTTGACAATAAACAAAATAGTGTAGCAGTAGTAGGACTTTGCTCTGCTACTATAGCTGTTAATAAATACTCTAATATGTAATCAAAGTATATATGTACAATGCAAATTGCTATATGTCTTTCCCATCACAGGTTGGTTTGGGTTTATTCTTTTTGGAGTGCTGGTAGTAGTACAAGTTTACACAGCTATTTTGCTGGGACGATCATGGCTCATTATGGAGGTGTTTTGGCCTAGAGAGGCAATCATACAATGCCGGTACGTATGTTCTACGTACGTATGGTGTTTCTATACCTATTTCTTTAATCTTTTTAATTAGAATATTTATCAGTGAATTAGTGTTCTTATTAGGTACTTAAAATACATTATTTTTTGTTAGTACAGTATTAAAATCATAAGATATACGTCAAAGTGGATACCTTCCCCCCCCCCTTTAAAAAAATATGAATGCTTGTCTCAAGTCTAAAGTTTTCTTACACAAGATATAATAATAATAATAATAATAATAATGATGATGATGATAATAATAATTTTATTTCAGCATGATACATGTTTGTAAACAAACGAGTATAACAATTGGGTGTACGTGCCAAAAGCCCCTTTATATTCAAAGCATTTCGGGCAGACTTAAGACTAGGTTAAATAAGGAAATAACAGTACAGTAAGATTGTACATATGGTCATTCGGTGAGTTACAATGAATGCAAGAGAATTGAATATTCCATTAGTTCATGTTCTATGGCTTTAATAAGTTTGGTAGAGAAGAATTACAGTTTTGATAATCAGTCTAAGGTGGACACAATGGAAGGATTAACATTTGAGAAGATTACAGATATTAAGAGTAGGTATATATTAATTATAATGTTTTACCTATGTTCATGATATTGAGCAAATATATGTATAGAGTCACATAGAGTTACATATATATTTATGATGACTTAATAAGTGAGACACATACGTAACAGTTGGGTATCTTCAATCCGAAACGTTTCGTATACACAGTAACCTTCTTCAGTTGAATACAGAGGAGGCAGCAGAAGTAGTAGAGATGTAAAGATGATGTAGTTTTGAGGGGATCAGTCCTTCTGGAGAAGAGTTCTGCTCCATAAGCTGAAACATTGTTTCAGACTATGCATTACACTATATGTAACTGGGTGGCAGTGTCTCCCCTTGGCAGTCACTGAGGACTGCATTATCAGTATCTTATTCCCATCAGGTACCCATATCCTGCCTTGGCAGAGAAAGCTGGGGGCATTATTCTGAAGAGAGTCGTCACCGTCATGCTAGATGCAGCAATTTTTGGAGCAGCAGTACCGTTCATGCTCCTTGGTGAGTAGTTTGTTTCCCTAACCCCCTCCCCCTCTCAGTGAAGGTGCCTTCCTCCTGCTGAGCAGTTCTTGATCCAAGGAACTGGATCAAGAACTGCCTCCCCAGTCGCTGTATAACCAGTGTGTGTTTAGCACATCCACTGATTATTTTTTTCCCATAATTTATACATGTACTTATTATTATTATTATTATTATTATTATTATTATTATTATTATTATTATTATTATTTACTTACTTTTAGCCTAGTTTTAAATGTTGTTTATTGTCTCATTGAAATTGATAGTAATAATGGTAGAATTACCGACAGTGTTAGGTAAATGGACACAGATGCAGCTGATGCGACATTTTGTTGTAGCAACGTTTCGCTCTCCAGGAACTGTGTCCATCTGCTGACACTGTAGTTTCTAAGTTGACCAAGTTAATGAGGCTTGTTGGTAAATATTATACCTGCAGAGGGTTTCGGGGGTCAACACCCCCGAAGCCTGGTCACAGACCAGGCCTCGGGGTGGATCAGGGCATGATCAACCAGGCTGTTACTGTTGGCCGCACATGAACCAACGTACGAACCACAGCCCGGCTGGTCAGGTACTGACCAGCCTTATCACAAAGAGTATTTAATTTTTCAAGATAAATGTTGCAATACATACAGTGTATGAAACTACTGCAGGTTAGAGTTATGTTTGAAGATGTTACTGATGTGATCCATGTTTTCGTCAACAAAGATACTGTCACAGTACCGGTGTTTAATAAGTACACTACTTTTTAGTAAGTTTATTTAGACACACGGGTGCACAGTTGTCATACACAGTTGTCATACGTAGTGTAAGTTACCTATGGATAACCCATAAAAAGGCATATAAAGTGACTTATTTCTATCGGGGTCCTTGAAAAGTTTATACAGTTCTTTGCATTATATGCTCCCAAAAATCTGTATTGATGAAACAAGAATTGTATAGGTTTTGTTTTCTTATAACTACTGCTGCCTTTCACCCTCAGTGGACACAAGTCCAGTAATGTTCCCATAATTGCTGTCTTTTATACAGGAAGTCACATACACATCACCTGTTTTCGGTGTTTTACGTTTTTGTTGACTTTCAATTGAGCTATTGTTCATTATGTTTGGTGTTTTACCGCATTTCCGCTATTATCGCCATTTTCGTACAACAGTTAATAATAAATAATAATAATAATAATAATAATAATAATAATAATAATAATAATAATAATAAAAATCTTTATTTCTACATGTACAAAGTATACAGACCTAGCTGACATCAATGCAGAGCATTTCGGGCAAATTAAGTCAATTTTGACCGAGGATGCGACCCACACCAGTCGACTAACACACAGATACCTATTTTACTGCTGGGTGAACATGCAGCAGGTGTCTTAAGGAAACACGTCCTAATGTTTTCACCAGTACCGGGGATCAACCACCGGAACTCGACCCCCGGCTCTTAGTGTGTGAATTGAGTGTGTTGGCAGTCGAGCTATGGAACCTAATTCGTAAACGATGCCAGCGCCATTTTTAGATTTTGTATAAACGGGGCCATCCGTATAATTACCACATACACTTTATTTTTTAATGATTATAACATATACTTTTTGTATATTTGCATATTATAGGGGTTGATTAAATTCTAAAAAAAGGGGACTTATGCTACCACTACTATCATGCTCTTTTATAATAATACTGTATACAAATTTTTAAAACATTCTAATTTATATTTATATCTTTTAATAATTACACTACTGCTATATATCTACTATAATACTATTATTCATAACACCCATAAAACTCGGAAACTCTGCAAGGCTCATGGGGTTGGCTGGCGGGGCAAACTTCTCTTTCTTTTACGGGTGCTATCACCCCTGTTTTCCTGACACCCCTGCTCTGGGTGGGCACCCCAAAGGGCTTAGGGAAACATTGTCATCATTTTTTAACTCTGGGGATTTTTCATGTACAAAAGCAGTAATTATTCCACACCCCTTTAGTGGGGGGGGGGTACCTTGATGCAGAGAAGGGTCTTGTCAAGGGAAAACTAACCTCCTCTTCCTTTTGGGTCAAGCCTGATTGCCTCCCCTTCCAAAGGAGCCGTATGATTCTTCGGGCTTAGTGCTTTTCCCTGAATGTGCAATAAAAATAATAATAATAAAAATTAATAATAGTGGTTGGTAGACAGCAACCACCCAGGGGAAATACTACCCTCCCGCCGTACTGTGAAACAAAAAACCCGTAATTTTTGCAGATGGGGATTGCTGGTTTTTTTTCTGCTCTAAAACCAAAAAAAACGGGAACGCATCCTACAACGGCCCAAATTAAAGCCGAAAGCAAAAAATCTCTCTGGCCCCAAAACCGTCCCTTTTTCCCTGGGGGAAGGGGGAACTTTTTGAAACCCGGGTCGGGGGGAAAAAACCCGGGGAAGGGCGGAACCCCCTTGTTTACGGGGAAAAACTTTAAAACGGGTTGTTTGTTGGATTAGGCGGGCGAAAAAAAAGATTGGAGTTTGAATAAAAAAGGGATTCCTGGCCCTAACCGAAACAAACAAGGGGAAATTTTAAATAATTGGGTTAAAATCTGATATCTAGAGGGGAAAGAATTTCTTTGTTTAAAGCGTTATGGGGGAAAAAGAGAATCAAATTTTTAAATTCAAAAAGGGATAAAAATAAAGGTTGGATGCGGGGGAGTGGGTCAAAAATAAGCGTGTATGCCCCGGAAAGAGGGGAAATTAAAGAGGAGAGAGAGAGTTTTTTGGGAGATGTTAAGTAATGTATGGGAGCCTTTAAAACCAATTTGAAGATTTAATTTGTGGTAGGGGATTTTAAATCCCTAAAAGTAGGAAAAAATTTTTTAGAGGGGGTTGGGGGTAAAAAAATTTTGGGGGGGCCCAGGTAAAAAAAAAAAATTGATAAGGGGACCCCCTTTGATTGAATTTTGGGAAATAAAAGGGGGGTTTTTAGTTTAAAGGTAATACATATTTTAAAAAAAAGAGGAAAAAATAAGTATACACGATATGATGTAGGGCGAAATGCCAGTATTTTGTTGGATTATTAATTTTGGGAGAAAAAGACTGGGGAGTAGACTTTAGGATTACATGGGTTTAAAGAGGGGCCACAGATATAACGACACTTTCTAGTTTAGCTACAAATGAGAGTAAAAAGGGAGATGGGATACAAGGAAATAGAAAACACCCGGGAAGGAAAAAGGTGAAGGTTTAAAAACTAAAAGAGGGGGAAATTTGGTTTTGATATAAAAAAAGCTATTGGAGGATAATGGGCTAATGAGAGCATAGGCAATGGGGGCGAAGAGGATTGGGTAGGTTTAAAAAAGTAGTGTTGAGTGTTCAGCAGAAGTTTGGGTTACAGGAAAGTGGGGTTGGGAGGAGGGGAAAAGGAGCGTTGGGGGAATGAAAGATGTAAAGAGATAGTAAGGGGGAAAAAATTAGCATATGAGAAGTTTTTTTTAAAAAAGAAAAAGTGATGCAAGGAAGGGGGAAAAGTATATGGAGAAAAAGAGAGAAGTTAAGAGAGTGGTGAAGCAATGTAAAAAGAGAGCAAATGAAGAGTGGTGAGGATTTTTATCAACAAATTTTGTTGAAAATAAGAAAAAGTTTTGGAGTGAGATTAACAAGTTAAGAAAGCCTAGAGAACAAATGGATTTGTCAGTTAAAATAGGAGAGGAGAGTTATTAAATGGAGAGTTAGAGGTATTGGGAAGATGGAAGGAATATTTTGAGGAATTGTTAAATGTTGATGAAGATAGGGAAGCTGTGATTTCGTGTATAGGGCAAGGAGGAATAACATCTTGTAGGAGTGAGGAAGAGCCAGTTGTGAGTGTGGGGGGAAATTCGTGAGGCAGTAGGTAAAATGAAAGGGGGTAAGGCAGCCGGGATTGATGGGATAAAGATAGAAATGTTAAAAGCAGGTGGGGATATAGTTTTGGAGTGGTTGGTGCAATTATTTAATAAATGTATGGAAGAGGGTAAGGTACCTAGGGATTGGCAGAGAGCATGCATAGTTCCTTTGTAAAAGGCAAAGGGGATAAAAGAGAGTGCAAAAATTATAGGGGGATAAGTCTGTTGAGTGTACCTGGTAAAGTGTATGGTAGAGTTATAATTGAAAGAATTAAGAGTAAGACGGAGAATAGGATAGCAGATGAACAAGGAGGCTTTAGGAAAGGTAGGGGGTGTGTGGACCAGGTGTTTACAGTGAAACATATAAGTGAACAGTATTTAGATAAGGCTAAAGAGGTCTTTGTGGCATTTATGGATTTGGAAAAGGCGTATGACAGGGTGGATAGGGGGGCAATGTGGCAGATGTTGCAAGTGTATGGTGTAGGAGGTAGGTTACTGAAAGCAGTGAAGAGTTTTTACGAGGATAGTGAGGCTCAAGCTAGAGTATGTAGGAAAGAGGGAAATTTTTTCCCAGTAAAAGTAGGCCTTAGACAAGGATGTGTGATGTCACCGTGGTTGTTTAATATATTTATAGATGGGGTTGTAAGAGAAGTAAATGCGAGGGTCTTGGCAAGAGGCGTGGAGTTAAAAGATAAAGAATCACACACAAAGTGGGAGTTGTCACAGCTGCTCTTTGCTGATGACACTGTGCTCTTGGGAGATTCTGAAGAGAAGTTGCAGAGATTGGTGGATGAATTTGGTAGGGTGTGCAAAAGAAGAAAATTAAAGGTGAATACAGGAAAGAGTAAGGTTATGAGGATAACAAAAAGATTAGGTGATGAAAGATGAATATCAGATTGGAGGAGAGAGTATGGAGGAGGTGAACGTATTCAGATTTTTTGGGAGTGGACGTGTCAGCGGATGGGTCTATGAAAGATGATGTGAATCATAGAATTGATGAGGGAAAAAGAGTGAGTGGTGCACTTAGGAGTCTGTGGAGACAAAGAACTTTGTCCTTGGAGGCAAAGAGGGGATATGTATGAGAGTATAGTTTTACCAACGCTCTTATATGGGTGTGAAGCGTGGTGATGAATGTTGCAGCGAGGAGAAGGCTGGAGGCAGTGGAGATGTCATGTCTGAGGGCAATGTGTGGTGTGAATATAATGCAGAGAATTCGTAGTTTGGAAGTTAGGAGGAGGTGCGGGATTACCAAAACTGTTGTCCAGAGGGGTGAGGAAGGGTTGTTGAGGTGGTTCGGACATGTAGAGAGAATGGAGCGAAACAGAATGACTTCAAGAGTGTATCAGTCTGTAGTGGAAGGAAGGCGGGGTAGGGGTCGGCCTAGGAAGGGTTGGAGGGAGGGGTAAAGGAGGTTTTGTGTGCGAGGGGCTTGGACTTCCAGCAGGCATGCGTGAGCGTGTTTTGATAGGAGTGAATGGAGACAAATGGTTTTTAATACTTGACGTGCTGTTGGAGTGTGAGCAAAGTAACATTTATGAAGGGATTCAGGGAAACCGGCAGGCCGGACTTGAGTCCTGGAGATGGGAAGTACAGTGCCTGCACTCTGAAGGAGGGGTGTTAATGTTGCAGTTTAAAAACTGTAGTGTAAAGCACCCTTCTGGCAAGACAGTGATGGAGTGAATGATGGTGAAAGTTTTTCTTTTTCGGGCCACCCTGCCTTGGTGGGAATCGGCCGGTGTGATAATAAAAAATAATAATAATAATACTCTGCTTTAATCATAAGTTCCATAATAAATTTCACACTTATAGTTACGTTGCTAGCACTAAATAACTGCCAGGTTGATTACCTTAAATATTTCTTCTAATCTTTAATTTTGTGGCTATTTTATTATCTGAAATAATTAAAAATAAAAAAAAATAATTTCAAGATTCTGAATTACTATAAATATCTAAATATTATTTCAGAAATTATTATGAGATAAGTAAATTAAATGATCCTTTGTTCTAATTTTATAAATGATAAAATTACTCCTGAAAAGTTTTTTTTATTTTTTATTATAATTATGTTTGTGTCTTTAGAATCTAGCCAGAGGACTGTGTCAAAATATGAAGTTGCTGAAATAATCTACAAATATAATGTTTCAGGTCTTATATATTTAAATATTCACATGTGTCTTGTAATGGTGAATCATTATACAGGGTTTTTCGGATCAACGACAGAATTTTTAGTTAATTTATGAACCTTAATTACTGGTTCATTGCTTACCGATAATTTTTGGTAGAGACAATACTTAATTATCACATTAGCTTTTTTTGTCATATTATATGTAAAACTTCCCCATTGAAGCCAGGAATAGATGGTATTTTTTAATGAATATTCAACCCCAGGTATGGCAGAACTCAGGTGTCTGCTACGGGCCGCGGGGGCGTTGACCCCCTAAAATCCTCTCCAGGTATACTCCAGGTATACATTGCCACTCTTCCCCTCCTCCCTTTTTACAAATAGTCCAGTACAAACATTTTTATATCTGACTTGTCGAGTTAGTCGCCAGGCTTGTAGAGAAATACGCTTTAAAGGTGCTAGGTTATGTTATTGGTAACATTAATTAACAAAGTCACAAGAATTATTCAACAAATATTAGAAGTTGAAGTGAGATAACTTATGTTGTGTGTATACTATATATTCATCTATCACTAATTCACTATGTACTGTATTTACACATGTACATTGATTCGGCACATATGTGTAAGTCAGCTGCTGGCTAGTCAGACTGACTTGAACTATTACCAGAAAGTAATCAAGTCAACCTGCCATTTAACTCCTGACAAATCGGAATGCCACAGCGCACCTAGTAGATACCTCACGGTCTAGTAATCTGTGATGACAGCTGTCGTAGATGATGACTATATGCCTAATGGTTTCTTTTGCATGCACTGAATGAATTTATAATGTAATAAGCACATTTAACACTCTTTTTGTCCACCCACTGGATGCACGGATGTACGTTCTCCCTCCCAGCAGGCAACCTATGTTAACCTGTCTCGCATGCCCAGGGATTCTTATAGAGTATTGTCCCTAAATTCCTTAATGAATCAGTAATGGCATAATTCAGTATTTACCTGGAGTTTACCTGGAGAGAGTTTCGGGGGTCAATGCCCCCGCGGCCCGGTCTGTGACCAGGCCTCCTGGTGGATCAGCGCCTGATCAACCAGGCTGTTGCTGCTGGCTGCACGCAAACCAACGTACGAGCCACAGCCCGGCTGATCAGGAACTGACTTTAGGTGCTTGTCCAGTGCCAGCTTGAAGACTGCCAGGGGTCTGTTGGTAATCCCCCTTATGTGTGCTGGGAGGCAGTTGAACAGTCTCGGGCCCCTGACACTTATTGTATGGTCTCTTAACGTGCTAGTGACACCCCTGCTTTTCATTGGGGGGATGGTGCATCGTCTGCCAAGTCTTTTGCTTTCGTAGTGAGTGATTTTCGTGTGCAAGTTCGGTACTAGTCCCTCTAGGATTTTCCAGGTGTATATAATCATGTATCTCTCCCTCCTGCGTTCCAGGGAATACAGGTTTAGAAACCTCAAGCGCTCCCAGTAATTGAGGTGTTTTATCTCCGTTATGCGCGCCGTGAAAGTTCTCTGTACATTTTCTAGGTCGGCAATTTCACCTGCCTTGAAAGGTGCTGTTAGAGTGCATATTATATTGACTCTATAAGAGTCATTCGGCACTGTACAGTAAAGTTGAAATTATTTTTATATTAAATGCAAGCAGTAAATCCGTATGGGTCATACTGCTCAGGTATAGATGAAAAAATATGGGGAGGAGTAAAGGTGGTTCAGCAATTTTATGTCAAATTATCATATAATCTAGTGAATCTTGCCTGTACTACTGTATACAGTTCACTTTTTATATACTATGCATGTATAGTATACAGTACAAATAATCGGTTACAGGTGAACTATTTGGATACAGCATTTTCTTTTTGTAAGGACTTCTTATTCAACAGTGTGGTGACATGGCTAGGAGCAGGCTCCATGGTGACAGTGAGTGTCTTGACTTTCACAGGCTTAATTCTTGATGCCCCTCAAACATTTACTCCTCCTCCTTCGGTTCCAACTTTCACTGCTGCTGCATATTGCTTCGGAGCAGTGGCCTTCCAGGTTGGTAAGCCCGAAAATTTATGTTTAAACTTTTAGTTCATTTATAATTAAATGAATAAATGAACTGGAATTTTGGAAAATAAATTATATTTTATATGATTACAGGCGTGCGGTACTATATATATATATATATATATATATATAATATATATATATATATATATAATTATATATATATATATATATATATATATATATATATATATATAGTCAGAAACGTTAATACTTTCATGCCCCATTTCAGACTGAACTAAGAAGAAATTCATGGCAAAGTCTTACATTGTTGGAGTTGTACGTTAGGAAGGTTATGTTAAAACATTAAGTGTGTGTTAGAGATATCATTAGTTATAGCACTAAAAATGTTGACATACAGCACTTGTAAAATTTAGTGTCAACAAGGACTGCAAGAGAGTTTACACTTTATTTAAATAATGATAAATAAATATAAATATACGAGGCGCTTGGATATCCAACAAACGTGTGAGCGTATTTGATAGGAGTGAATGGAGGCAGGTGGTTTTTATGACTTGTGCTTTGGAGTGGGCAAGGCAACATTTATGGATTCGGAGGAACCGGTAGCTGGACTTGAGTCCTGGAGGTGGGAGTTCAGTGCCTGCACCCTGAAGGAGGGGTGGGACTATTGCAGTTTGGAGGGGCATCTGAGCTGTAATGTCAGTGAGGTTTTGGCAGGACGGTGATGGAGTGAGTGATGGTGAAAGTGGTTTTGTTTGGTTAACTTAGTTCGGTGGGAGACATCCAGTATATTAAAATTAATTTCCACATATTAGAATTTTCACAAAATTAGATGACAGTAGTGCACATGGAGAATCCCTAGATCATTTCAGGCGAGCTTAAACCTAACCTAAGACTAATAGAACATAAAAATCATTGCACAAACATGTATACCAAGATATTTAAGGTAGACTTAAGTTGATAACTGACCACCTCGACATCTGCAAGTCCGCAGACTTCCGAACTTTGTCATTGTAGGTGTGTACCAGTGATCATCGACACCATGCCCAGCCCTTCTAGGGTAGGGTAGGTGCCTGAGCCCGAGCTTGCAGCTCACAAGACTGTCATTCCCATTATCCCCCTTGTGGCGGGGATGGCAGACCAGAGTGGCCGAGCTTCTCCCTACGAGAAGCTAGGCCTGGGGACAGTTGGTCCCTAAGATGAGGGGGTACTTGTGCCTCCTCCTATGTAAGTAAGTAAGTAAGTATGGAAGACTAAGGACTCAGACACTCCCTAGACAGGGAGCCAAGGCCGGGCCACCACTTGGAAAAGGCCCGGGCCGGGAGAATACCGACGAATCTTTAATAATAATAATAATAATACCAGTGATCCAGTGAAACAGATCTCGGAGAGACAATCGATACACGTCCGTATAATAACCATAGCTCCGTAGAGTGGTCCCGTGGCTCGGTTGTTAACGCTCTCACCTCACACACGGAGTCTGTGGTTCAATGACCGACACTTGTGGAAACGTTGGGCATGTTTCCTTACAGCTTCTTTCTCTGTTCATCTAGCAATAAGTAAGCATCTGGGTGTGGGTCGCATCCTGGGGGTAAAGATTGAACAATAACAATGGAAATAAGACAAACAGTCCTTGATGATGCACTGAGGTGGCTAACCCTCCCTCGGGTTAAAAATCCCAACAAATCTTATCTTATCTTAATGAGTAAATGAATATACGTGCACACAAGATAAAGGTACAGCATGGTACTTTACAATAAGAAAAATTTAATCAGGTACACTTTTTACAATATATGACATTTAGTAACGTATGTTGAAGCAGTAGTACAGCGTATGGAGAAACCAATACCTTAAACTAAAGGTTCTTTATAAACAGAGGTGGAGTAGTAAGTAATCAATAATTTGATTACAGTACTTAGGTATACAGTGCCTGCTTTAGCTTAGTTTTGAATTGGGTAAGAATTGCAGTTTTTTTACTTCCTCTGTTAAGTTATTTGACATTTTTGGCCTTTGGGATATCAAAAATAGGTATTTGTGTGGAGTGGAGAGTTCTGGGGGTCAATGCCCCCGCGGCCCGGTCTGTGACCAGGCCTCCTGATGGATCAGAGCCTGATCAACCAGGCTGTTACTGCTGGCTGCACGCAATCCAGTGTGTTCTCTTACATTCATTTGATCGCTATCTTTCCAGAAGTGTGACATCATAGTCAGATTACCCTCCGACTGTAGCATCCCCACCCCTCCTTCAGAGTACTAGGACTGCCCTTGTGACCTCCAGGACTCAAGTCCATCTAACTAATTTCCCTGAAACTCATAGAAGTTACACTCCAACAGCACGTCCATTAAAAATCACTTGTCTCCAATTACTCCTAACATGCTGACACAAGCCTGTTGTGTGCTCATTATTATTATTAGGTGTAGTAGTAGTAATAATAATCTTTGACTAAGTGTCTGTGAAAGGCATTTCTTTTTGTCATTTATTTTGTGTGGAGCATTTTTTTTAATAGACTAATTTTTTCCCATCCTAGTTTGACATCCATCCAATGATCTTGACAGTACAGATGGACATGCAGCAGAAGCAGCGGTTACCACTTGCTCTTATAATTGCCTTCATTAGTAAGTTGTAACTTATGGATGTCTAACTTCTTATCTCTCTCAAAATGTCTTTCTGCTTTGGCAGTTTATATATGGTGCCCTTTATGCCAGCTCATTATTATAGTGTCCAGACTAAATCATTCTTTGAGTGGACAATATGTGAGGCATTGCAGGTAGTAATGGCAAACTTGACATTTAAAACTCGGTAAAAAAAATACCTTAAAACATTATTTATGTAAAAAAATTATAATAATTATAGTTTAAGGTTTTTTCTTCACAAAACATCTGATATGGAGTTCACCGTTAATACTTGCATGACCGCATATCAGACTCTCTTGCCTGATAGAAAGCCAAGCTGAAGTTTGTCTTAAGTGGCTGTACAGTATAACTATACGTGTAGTACTTTACACTCCCTATCATTTGAATCAAAATATGGACCAGAATATAATATAATGTAACTTTGCTGATTTCACTCATTCATTTTAAGAGTTCAGGTGCTCTGCATATTTGCTATACATTTATATTTCATTCTGCAATGCTGACTTAATAATATAAGACAAAATTTTGATGGCCTGCAGATCTTCCATCTTCAATGGGTGGAGAGAGGATCGAGCCACCTCTGCTCTTGTTCTAAATGACATACTATGGGTTTAACTCTTGCATAAATATTTTTGATAAGATTGCGAGTCTCAGGTGCAAAATTAATGGCTTTTAAAAAATAGTTAATTTTAACTGACTCAAGAAATCGTAATGACACGATTGCAAACAAATCATACCCCCGGCCGGGATTGAACCCGCGGGTTCAATCCCGGCCGGGGGTATGGTTTAATAGTTAATTTTCAGAGAAAAATAATTAATGGCAAGTGGGTAATTTGGGAAAAAACATATTATCTTGAGAGGTGACCATCATTTAAGCAGTTAAGATAATATCAATGACCCACAGGTTTGGCATTTTACATAAAAAAAATATTTTGTGATGCTTATTTTGAGGAAAGTACAAAATTTCATTTAATTACACAATCCAGTATTTTATGCACTAATTTATTTTTTTGTGTTGCAGTTGTCATAACTCTCTTTGGTGGGATTTCATGTGTAGCCTTTTTTCTTTTTGGTTCCTCCATCAAAACCAACATCCTGAATAATCTTTCACATGGTCCACTTCTCTACTTCAACATGGTTGTAGTCTCCATGCAGGTGAGCTCAAGTAGTGACATGGAACAAAAGCAACATTCATACTGTGCCCAGATTACCGCTAGTTATACACTTGACTGCTACTTTATAGTAATGCAAACCTATTGCAGCTAAGTGAGTAAAATTAAGTAGAGTGTTTATCTTGCACTTTGCTAAATGACCTGCACAAATTTTGATGTGCTGAGGCTTAGATTATCTTACTCCACCACCCTCGCTCCCCACTACACAACTTGGGTACACAGTAACCATAGGCCACTACATTCCAACAAGCAAGTAATATCCTTAGCATAATAGTGAGCATATTTAACAGAGCATCAGATACAATGGAGAGAGGGAGAGAGTCACTGTCGTGTCAGATGCGATTTGAAAGTGGGAGAGAGAGGGAGGGAATGCGAGAGAAGGGATGAAAAAAATAGAAGGAAGAGGAAGGAAAGATAAGAGTACTGAACATTGCTTTTAATTAATGAAAAAAGAAATTATGAGTGAGGAAGGCATCTCAGATTATAACACAGGGATCACATTAGGGTCATTGTCCTATAATAGTAATCAGTAGCTTAACATTGTCCACAAAACTTTTGGAAGAAAATATTCTACAGATTCATCAAGGTTAAAAACCCACACTTATAGATATTGTATCCTGTGATACCTGTGTGAGTAAGTTTTACAGATTTTAGTGAGTAAATTTTTTGTGGCAAGATATTGACACTACCATAATATTAGTTGGAAATTTGTTCTGAGGAGACACTTTAAATTTTCTTTCATGCTTTGGATTTGAGAAAATATTTTCTAGTGTTCATATAATTCCTTTAAATTAATAAGAAAACTAATTTTCAGATGCTTATCTGCCTTGTACTTGGAATTAATACACTGTTTCAAGATCTGGAGAATTCTCTTCGGATTCCTGATGGTAAGTATTTTTCCAGTCTCTTCAGAACTTTTTTATTTAGAATGAATATCTTTCACGAAAATAGTCTTATCAGCTAATGACACTCAGTGTTTCTGTTTATTTATTTATTTATTTATTTTATAATTTGAACATACATACAGAGGTACAAAAAATACAGGTAAGAGCAGCATGCCAAAGCCACTTGTATGCATAGCATTACGGGCAGGATTAAAATTAACTTAAGATTAACTAAGCAATGATGTAATCAGTGATAAAACATTATTGTAAACAGATAACAATAAAGCACAAATGAGTATTACAAAGACAGGTCATATGGTTGCATGCATTGCTGTACATTCAGTAGAATGGAGTATTCTGTTAGGTAGTGTATTTAAAAAATAACAAAGTTAGATTGGATCTTAGGTTTAAAATTTATGTGACATAATTGTGAGAAACATTTAAGATATACAATTTATAAGGTTCAGTTATTCAGTATTTATTTGGTTTTGAGTGAGTAAGTGATCTTTGAGAAGAGACTTGAATTTATAAACAGGTAGTGTTTCTTTTATATTTACAGGTAATGAATTCCAGATTTTAGGGCCTTTTATGTGCATTGAGTTTTTGCATAGCGTGAGATGGACACGAGGAACATCAAAGAGTGATCTGTGTCTTGTGTTATGGTCATGTGTTCTGTTGAGGTTGGCAAGATGTTTGAGGGGAGGGTTAATATCAGAGTTAAGTGTTCTATGTATGTAATAGGTGCAGTAATAAGTATGGATGTTTTGTATGGTGAGTAGGTTTAGTGTTTTGAATATTGGTGGAGTGTGCTGCCTGTAGTGAGAATTTGTTATAATTCTAACTGCAGCCTTTTGTTGGGTAATTAGTGGTCTGAGATGGTTAATTGTTGTTGAGCCCCATGCACAAATTCCATAGGTGAGATAGGGGTAAATAAGAGAGTGATATAGGGCCAGGAGGGCTGACTGTGGAACATAGTACCGTATCTTCGATAGTATGCCTACGGTCTTGGAAATTTTCTTAGAAATTTGTTGTATATGTGTATGAAATTTGAGTCTATTATCAAGGTGGATTCCTAAGAATTTTCCCTCTGTTAGCTTTGTGATAGGTGATCCGTTTATCATTATGTTAAGAGGGACATGTGTAGCTCTGTTACCAAACTGAATGAAGTAGGTTTTGTCAATGTTTAGTGTAAGTTTGACTCAAGAAATCGTAATGACACGATTGCAAATAAACCGTACCCCCGGCCGGGATTGAACCCGCGGTCATAGAGTCTCAAAACTCCAGCCCGTCGCGTTAGCCACTAGACCAGCTAGCCACAATAAGATTCATCCAACTAGGTATATTTCTACACCATAGGAAAGTTAGCACGGCAGTGAAGGGACTTGAGTTAGAGTTCGTCACGGCCACGCTAGCTGGAGATTCGTCTGTAAAAACTTGCATTTGTGGTCACAGAGGTGCCTGTGCTAACTTTCCAATGGTGTAGAAATATACCTAGTTGGATGAATCTTATTGTGGCTAGCTGGTCTAGTGGCTAACGCGACGGGCTGGAGTTTTGAGACTCTATGACCGCGGGTTCAATCCCGGCCGGGGGTATGGTTTAGTGTAAGTTTGTTAGTCCTCATCCAGGTAGATAAGATAAGATAAGATTTCGTTCGGATTTTTAACCCCGGAGGGTTAGCCACCCAGGATAACCCAAGAAAGTCAGTGCGTCATCGAGGACTGTCTAACTTATTTCCATTGGGGTCCTTAATCTTGTCCACCCCAGGATGCGACCCACACCAGTCGACTAACACCCAGGTACCTATTTGCTGCTAGGTGAACAGGACAACAGGTGTAAGGAAACGTGTCGAAATGTTTCCACCCGCCGGGAATCGAACCCTGGCCCTCCGCGTGTGAAGCGGGAGCTTTAGCCACCAGGCCACCGGGCCTGGTATTGGCTAGCATGACTGGGCTCGGGTGAGAGAAGACGTATGTAGTGTCATCTGCAAATAGTGTGGGTTTGAGTAATTGCGAAGCATTTGGTAGGTCATTTATGTATAGGAGAAAGAGAAGAGGGCCAAGGACACTTCCCTGTGGGACACCAACTGTAATTGGTTGTGCGGAAGAGTTTGCCCCATTTGCGTACACATATTGGCTTCTGTTGCTGAGGTATGACTTGAGGTAGTTGAGGGAGTGCCCTCTAATACCATAGTGTGACAATTTTACGTGGAGCAAGTCATGGTCAACTGTATCAAAAGCTTTACGTAAGTCAATGAAGATCCCCAGTGGGACTTCTTTTTTCTCTGTTGCAGTGTATATATGTTCTAGCATGTGTATAATAGCATCATTAGTATTTTTATTAGGCCTGAATCCAAATTGGCAGGGGTTGAGTATGTTTTGGGAGATGAGATAGGAGTAGATTCGTTTATGAATTAATTTTTCGAAGGTTTTAGAGAGAGGGTGTAAGTTGGATATTGGTCTATAGTTATTCAACTCTGTTTGGTCTCCTCCTTTATGGATCGGGGTGACCCTTGCTATTTTGAGAACTGTAGGGAAGGTGGAGGATTCAATGGATTTGTTAAAGAGTGTTGCAATGATTGGTTATATTCATGGGGAAATGCCAACCTGTAGGAATTTAAATAGATTTAAATACCTTACCATCCTTTATATACAAAAAAGTGTCACAAGTACTATCACCAATCATTGCAACACTCTTTAACAAATCCATTGAATCCTCCACCTTCCCTACAGTTCTCAAAATAGCAAGGGTCACCCCGATCCATAAAGGAGGAGACCAAACAGAGTTGAATAACTATAGGCCAATATCCAACTTACACCCTCTCTCTAAAACCTTCGAAAAATTAATTCATAAACGAATCTACTCCTATCTCATCTCCCAAAACATACTCAACCCCTGCCAATTTGGATTCAGGCCTAATAAAAATACTAATGATGCTATTATACACATGCTAGAACATATATACACTGCAATAGAGAAAAAAGAAGTCCCACTGGGGATCTTCATTGACTTACGTAAAGCTTTTGATACAGTTGACCATGACTTGCTCCACGTAAAATTGTCACACTATTCAAATTCAAAGTTTATTCTCTATAAGGATTACAATGCTGAGTTTACAGAAATTTGGTTATTGTTTGGTTTACATGTAGTAAAATTGTGATTACAGAGTGTACCACTAGAACGCTTAGCATGGCTAGGCATTTCGGGCATACTTAGTTTTATTCTTAAATGTAAAATATTACAAATTATGAGGTAAGTTGGTATTATGGCTAAGTGACTAAATACTATTTTGTGAGTTTAGAAATGTGAATGCTTTTGTTTAGGCACAGTATGTAGTTTCAGTATTGGAGTATCACAGGATTCATTATATTAAGACTGAGATTAATATTTCTGTTTATGGTCAAATGAGTGAGCGAGTGTAAGTGTGAACCACCAGGTGGTATTCGTGAAGTTAGTTGACGGGGTGTATCAGGGAGATAAGATGTTTTCTAATGGTAGTTTTGAAGGTGATGAATGTGTCTGCAGTTCTAGAGTTCTCAGGTAGGGTATTCCAGATTTTAGGGCCTTTGACATACATTGAATTTTTGTAAAGGTTAGTCGGACACGGGGAATGTCGTAGAGATGTTTGTTTCTGGTGTTATGCCTGTGGGTTCTGTCACAACTATCAAGAAAGCGTTTAAGGTCAAGGTTGATATTAGAGTTTAAGGCCCTGTAGATATAGATTGCACAGTAGTAAGTGTGGATGTACTGAACTGGGAGTAAGTTTAGATCTTTGAAGAGTGGGGGGGGGTGTGCTGCCAGGGATGGGATTTAGTGATTATTCTTACTGCAGCTTTTTGTTGGGTTATTATTGGCTTTAGGTGTGTTGCTGCAGTTGATCCCCAAGCACAAATAGCATAGGTGAGGTATGGATAAATAAGTGAGTGGTATAGTGTGAGAAGGGCATTTTGCGGCACGTAGTATCGTATCTTGGAGAGGATCCCAACCGTTTTGGATACTTTTTTGGCTATATGCTGGATATGGGTGCTGAAATTCAGGTTATTGTCAAGGTATAAGCCTAAGAATTTTCCCCCATTATTTCTGGTAATTAGAGTGTTGTCAATCTTAATGTTAATTTGTGCATCTCCTGCTCTGCTACCAAACATAATATAGTAAGTTTTGTCAGTGTTAAGCGTAAGTTTGTTGGCTGTCATCCAAGTCGATATTTTAATCAGCTCCTCATTCACAATGGTGTTAAGGGTGGCAAGATTAGGGTGAGAGATGACATAAGTCGTGTCATCAGCAAACAGAATGGGTTTTAGGTGTTGGGATACGTTTGGTAGGTCATTGATGTATATGAGGAAGAGCAGGGGACCAAGGACACTTCCCTGCAGAACTCCAGTATCAAGTGGCCGTGTTGCTGATGCTGTGTCTTTAATGGTGACGTACTGATACCTATTAGTAATGTAAGATTTGAAATAAGCAAGCGCATGGCCTCTTATACCGTAGTGGTCAAGTTTATGGAGTAGGATTTCGTGGTTTACTGTGTCAAAAGCTTTTCTTAGGTCAATAAAAATTCCTAGTGGATATTCCTTATTTTCCAGTGCAGTGTAAAGCAGATCTAGCATTTTTATGATTGCATCATTAGTGCTTTTATTTTTCCTGAATCCAAACTGGCAGGGGTTATGTTTTGAGCCGTTATAAATGAATACAGTCTCCTGTGCACAAGTTTCTCAAAGATTTTGGATAGCAATGGTAAGTTAGATATTGGCCTATAGTTGTTTAAGTCTGTAGGGTCACCACCTTTATGTATTGGTGTAACCCTTGCCATCTTGAGTAGTTTCGGGAAGGTGCTAGTCTCTATTGACTTGTTAAAAAGTAATGAAATAGCATGCGAAAGGACATGGGCCGCTCGCTTGTACAGTAATGGTGGGACATGAGACAGATTCCCCGAGTTATTTTTAAGTGACTTTATGATCTCAATGACTTCCGTGGGCTCAGTTGGTGCAAGATAGAAGGAATTAGG